ATTTCCCTCGATAGTGTTGTTTGTTTACATGCCGTAATTTTCCGCAGCCAATTTTAATTAAGACATCCCAGACGGCCTGTCGTTTCGCTTCGTCGGGCACGTCTCTTATGCTTACGCGCGTAGGCGGCTTTGTTGGTGGAAGGAATCGAATGTTTACATCGCCCGATGTTATGATGTTTTCGTTGTCTCGTAAAAAGTTATCTCGCTTAGATACATTTTCATTATGTGGGTCAAGTTGCCTAAGAGAAAGCAGCCATTGACCGGGGCGTGATTCATACAATGCTGTAAGATGCTCCACATAACTTCTTGTGGACTCCGTATTTGATAGAATGTCTAAAAATGCATCAACATCTAACGAGGCGCTTACCTCAGCGACCACAGAACGTGGTCGTTTTTCCTTTCCTTGCTCTGTATTCCTGTTGGAGACCGCCGCTGAGTAATCCATACCGTTTGATGTTATATCCAGAAATGTATATCCAAGAATTATGTCCAAACTATATCCGTTTCACACCACGACTCAAGTACACAACGTTCAACTGTCTTAATACAACCAAATACTCCAATACCTCAGCTAGATCTTAAATGAACAACGAGGCGCCTTCTCAGACATCTTTCGTTTTTTGTGCGTACGGTATTGAATGACGCCCGCCATTTTGTTAAAGCACGTGGCAAAGGGATCGAGGGCGTGTAGCCAGCCAATTTTTTCATACATTTTTTCTAAATACCTGGTTAGTGTGTTTGGCATACCATATTCCATTAGCACCGCAAACATAAAGCTGTGGTCGATGGAATCAAACGCTTTCAGGAAATCCAATGATATTAGTGCACCTTGGTTCCGTATTTGACATTCCGTAACGACTTTTCTGATTAAAAAATTTAGGTCCATTATTTTGTTCGGCGGTTTAGCAAATTGGTGGTTATCTGTAATGTCCGGCAAAATCAATTTTATTCGGTTAGCTAGTATTTTGTTGAGAATTTTCACATCATTATTCAGTAGTGTTATTGGCCTATAATTATGTAACTCTTCTTTATCTCCTTTCTTATGTTTCAGGTGGATTATGCCAACATTATTTTCATTTTTCTCTATTGCCCCTATGTACATTTCGTTCATGATTTCCAATAGCTCATATTTTATTAAATAGAAGAATTTTTTATAGAATTCACCAGTCAGTCCATCTTCCCCGGGAGATTTTTTTATCTTTATTTCTTTTATTGCCTTTTCTAATTCACTCATCGTAATTTTGGTTTCCAGACTATCATTTTGGCTTGCAGTGGTCTTGTGATCAATTTTAGATAAAAATAAGTTCTGTGCAGCCTGGCTAGTCTGCCGTTTACTATATAGATTAGTGAAAAAATTTTCTACTATTTTTAATTTATCTTTCAATTTGTAGCTACGTTCTCCTTTTGGATTCTTTACCGGGCCGATTTCAGTTTTCTGGTGCTTTCTTTTAATTTTATCAAAAAACAAATGGAGGTTGTGACTATTTGGTGAAATTTCCTCAATTTTGGATCGTAGGATTAGGCTTTCAAATTCAATTTTTTGTTGGACAAATAGTGCCTTTTTTGCTTGTTTAAAGTCCGATAGCACATTTTTTCCCTTATTAAGTTCGGATCTATAAAATTCTACTTGCGTTTGGAGTTTTTCCGTTTCTTCTTCTTTGATATTCCTTTCTTTGGCTCCGAAGGTGATCAGAAGTTGTTTTATTCTTGTTTTTGTCGTTTTCCACCACTGTATCCAGTTGTGGTTGTTATAGTCTTTCAAGGTTTTCCATTTTTTCCATTTGTCTTCCAGTATTTGCTTAAATTGAGTTCTGTCATAGTGAGATGCGTTATTTCTCCAGAGTCCCGGTCCTCTTTGTTCCTGTGGGTTTATCTGAATTTGGATTACGGCTGCGTCGTGATCTGTTCCTGGAATCGAAATGTGATATAAAGAATGGATTATTTTGCTATCATTTGTATAAATTCTGTCAAGTCTTGAGCTTCCATTTTGGTGGTGATATGTGAATTCCCTTTTGTTCGGGGCATAGTGCCGAAACGCATCAATTAAATGGAAGTTGTTTAATAGTTTTTGAAGGTGCTTTTGTAGGGCCGCTTGAGAATAGTGATTGTTGGATGGCTGTTTGTCATTCATCGGGTCTACTACTACATTAAAGTCGCCTCCCAATACCAATTTAGTTGTTGCACATAAATGTTCGCTGACGTCACTCAAAAATTTCATCCTTTTATCCAAATTAGTCCCGTGTGTTTGGGCATATGCATAAATATTAACTAGCTTAATTTTTATTTTTTGGATAACAATATTTAACACTAAAATTCGGCCCCTATTATCAAAATTTTCAAAAATAGGACTTATCGTTTTCTTGAATAAAATTCCAACTTCTGATGATTTTGTATTGTTCGAGTTCCAAAATGCTCCTTTTTCTCCCCATTCCTGAGTCCATTTGTTTTCTTCTTTGGCGCTTGAGTGTGTTTCCTGTAGGTAGACTATATCCCATGGTTTGGTTCTTAGAAAATTAAAAATTGTTTGTCTTTTACTTTTATTTTGCAGTCCATTTACATTAATAGTCGCTACTTTTAGTTTAAAATCCATTATGTGTGTGGTATGTTCTTTACGTCTGATCTGAGTTTCGTTTACATAATTGATTATTGCTTAAGTAAGTTAGGGTATCTCTCCCTGCATCTAGGGCACTTGTCGTGCTCTCTGTATGCGTGCAAAGGTACTAAGGTGTGGCAACATTGGAGGGGCACAGCTAGCTCAAGGCAGTTTATACAAGTAGTGGGATATTCAAACTGGTGATCCTCTTGGGGAGTTATCATTAATAGATTTACGTCACAACATGTCCTGAATATGTTGTATTCTTCCGTGCAGTTAAAGCAACGCACACTCTTTTGGTCGCTTAGAAGCGATATTATCTTGCTGCAATTAGGACATTCTACAGCCGTTTCTGGGGCTGATAGACTAATGGCTTTTCTATTACGGTACTCACCGCTACTGCCAGATGTGTCGTATTTCCTTTTGTTATATTCCCTTTCTTCCAATGTGTGTAAGCTGTCTTCTTCTATATCCTCTGACTCGCTGTCCTCGGCACTCCCTATTGTGCGTCGATCGCCTTCTTTGTTTTGACGGTCGTGCTTGGGTGCGCTTTGGGTTGGTCTATCCGATGGATTTTCATTCCTTATATGGTCACGCGCAATCACTTCTTGTTCTAGTCTGGTGATTGTCTTGGGCGTTCCCCGTTCTGCTTGGCTTAATTTGGCCTCAATTTGTTTTGGATTTACGTTTTTATCCTCAATGGTTTTGCCAATATTTTTGATTACCGTTATGTACTACGTATGTACTACGTGCTCACCATTTAAATGTCCTCTATATATATTATGTAGCTCTATAAACTAGTGTAAACTACTCTTTGGCTTTTATGGTTACCTATATGCCCAAACCATATGGATGTAATTGAAATAGGATACGTACTTACCAAACAATGTCATATCTCCGTGTAGTCTGCCGCCTCTACATTGTGCTTGCTTCCATGCCTACAAGTACGAATAACCGCACATATATAAGTGAAATGTATTACATACTTACCACATAAAGGTCCTCTGCATTTCAGTGTAGCTTCCGGCCTCGACATTATGCTTGTTCTCATGCCTACATATAAAATTAAACCACACATAAATAAGTGAAATTGTCTACGTACTTACTATTTAAATGCTCTTTTTCTTTCTTCAATTAGTGCTGCTTGCTGCTTCACATGATGCTTGCTTCCATGCCTATTTGCGTGATAAAACAATTCATATATAAGTGAATTAACTAAGTACTTAACAGGTCAATCTAGCTTCAATCTAGCTGCAGCCCTCTGATCTTACACCATGCTTCCTTACATGCATAAATTAGATGATAAAACCAAACAAATGTATATAAATTTGCTACGTATTTACCTATAAAGGCTCTGTACACATAGAGCAGCTCCTTGTTCTTCAATAGTGATTGCTTTCAGGCTTTTAAATGCTCCGGTCTATCTATTGCACCATTTGCTTTTTCTATTGTGTTACAATACTTCTGTAAGTGCTTTCCATATAGTAGCATAAATATTAGCTCCAACCTATATTTAATTAAATATTTAATTTGTTACGTATATATATATAAATACTTTATCCACCTAGTGCTGTTTCTTGCGTGTAAATTGTGATTGCCTTCATGCCTTTAAAGGTCATTTGTTTATCTAGTGCATCATTTGTCTTACCTATTGTGCTACAATACTTCTGTACTGGCTTTCCAAATAATAGCATAAATAATTGTTCCAAACTATAGTTAATTATAAAATTAATTTGTTGCGTATTCATTAGTTTGCTACGCTATTGCTTTCATGCCTTTGAAAGTTCTTTTCTATCTAGTGCATCATTTGTCTTTTCTATTGTGTTGCAATACTTTCCTACGTGAGTAGTATATGATGTTGTCCAGAATTGGTAAATTACTCCACAATACTCCACAAATACTCCACAAATACTCCACAATACTCCACAATACTCCACAATGCTCTTACTCCACATTGCTCCACATTCACATTGCTCTACATGGACAGGACATGTCCACTTTTTCGGTAAGGTATTAGAGTATTCGCTAGAGGGGTCAGGGGTGTTTCTATCTCGCTCGATAAGACCTTGACATGAGAATTGGGAGAGAGAAAAATCGCGCTATTGTTTAATTTTCGCCCTTTAATTGATAAGACTTCGAGGAATTGGTAGAGAGAAAAATCGCGCTATTGTTTAATTTTCGCCCTTTAATGGATAAGACTTCGAGGAATTGGGAGAGAGAAAAATCGCGTTATTGTTTAATTTTCGCCCTTTAATGGATAAGACTTTGAGGAATTGGGGAGAGAGAAAAATCGCGCTATTGTTTAATTTTTGCTAGATAAGACTTGTTTAAACGGTTGCTCTCTTTATTACTAACTGAACTGAAGAGAGAGAAAAATCTAACTGATTAATCTGAATATATAAAAATATTGAACAGGTTGTAAGTGATTATATTGAAGTATATGAATAATAGAAAACACAGTATTACAGAAAGGCACAAGTACACAAATAAATGATTATAGACACAGTATTATATTTAAAAAAATGTAGATTTTAGGTATTAAAAGTACTCGTCCCGGAGGTTTATAAACATCTGAAACCAACATGTCGGTGGTACCACACAGTCTAAATACTCCTGCTTGCAGGTCACAATGTACATTATGAATTTTTGTACGGCATGTACGACCGTAATCCTTTCACTTCTGCTCATATTCCTTAACTCCGCAAAAGATATGGACGCAAAATGGTCCCGCACGAGAAATCTTTTTAAAGTCGGGATGACCTCGAACCCATCTGTCCACTCGTAAGACTCCAACGCCTGTAGGAAAAAAAACATTGCGTAAATTGAAAGAACTTTTAAATTATGTTATATATATTTTATTTAAACTTACTTTCAGTATAGCTTCTGTATAGGTCGGGATTTGTGCATTGTTCATTTTGATAATTTTTAGATTTAAATGCTTATAATAAGAACTGTAAAAATAACAGACCAGAGATTAGGATAAAACAAAAGCACGTAAATGAAATGAGAAAGATATCATATTGAAAAGTAAATATAAAGCGTAGTTTAAGAAAATATGTATGAAATGGTCGGGTGAAGAAAACTTGGATGCAAAGTAAAAACAAAACAAAATTGAACAATTATAACATTTGATATGCAATGTTAAAGAACACTTTATGAAATGTATAAACATGGTGTAACTAAATTAACAAAGGGCTGGTAGAAATTCCATCACTATGGACTTTTCTCTTCGCGTAAAAGTAAGGCATCCCATTTCGGTATTGTTTATAAGTGTACATTTTATTTTTATAAAGTTTAAAGTTAACGTTAAACCCGCCAGCTGAATTTTTAGAGAATAGAACGTTTCGCATTTTATTAAACGTTATATTCTGGTGAATATTTTGTAGACCTTTTGCGGCGAATTTGAAGGTATTATCACCTTGACAAAAATATGTTTTGGCACAAAGTCCAACAAACGTTTCGCCGGAAAATTCTACTTTGAAAAGTCCCGGTGTTCGTTTATCAAACTTAAACTGTTTCACACAGCATTCACGTGTATCGTCAAACGGTAATAAATTGGTCTTATTGAAAATGAACTCGTTACGATGAGTTTCACATGATTTAGAGGGGAACCATTTATGATAATTATTGTAAAATTCTTCTCTCATTTCTGGCTTTACTAAAGTTTCCAAATTTTTATTGGAAATAGCTACGTACGCTGAGTCCGTATCCATACAAAGATACTGGTAATCAGACCGATCAAAGTATTTGTCAAAAAAGTCATATTTCAGTTCTAGCATGCGTAACTTCGCGTTTTGGTACACTACGAATCCAATTTGATTGGGTAATTTCCATGAAATCTGTTTTCTTCTTGAATTCACTTCAAATAAGTTGTCATCGAGCTGAGTCGCACCAACAAATGAAGGGTCATTGATTAAGTCTCGTGCTTGTTTACCATCACAGTATGTTATGGTTCTGTAGTTAGCGACATTTTCCAACGTCTTTCCATATGAGGAGTTTCCTGTGAAAAGTAAAAAAAAAAAGTTTAATAATATGTTTAAACCTATACACTTGTGAAACATGTAACATATTACGTGATATTATGAGTTGAAAGGTGTCAATAAAAATGTGATGAAATAAAACTTACCAAGTAACTTGTATGTATCAGCTAATATTGCTTTTTCTGGTGATGTATCTCCTTCCCTTCTAGCCGCAGAAACTTCATCACGAAAAGGTGCAAAACATTCTTTAGGTTCATACTCGATAAATTGATATATGTGGGTAATTTGAATTCCATGATTAATATACCAGCGAACGAGATCAGTCGCAAGAAGAATTTTATTACCAATGTAACTTCCTATGAGTGAACGCCTCGGTTGAGACATTATTTTATTATCAACAGCGTATTGTCGCATATGTTCACCGATATCTGCTTGAGACACTAAAATATTTTTAAAAATAGGAGGCATTTCCGCATAATACTCTTTAAGCTCGTCGGGTACTTGAATGTCACACTCGATAAGACCAAACAGTTTACCTTTTTGAATTACGTTTATCATTTGTTGCGTTGAAAGTGTATAACCTTTATATAAATTCGGTTGCCTTGATTTGAGAAAGGATTTCACCGGTTCTGTTTTGGTAATTTCATTCCAATCACATTCGCGCATTATCACAACTTTATATCCGAGAGTTTGAAAATAACGTGTGTTTAAGGCTGTGTTTTGTTGTAATTCCTCATGACTTTTACCTGGATAGGTTTCACTTCTACCAAGATGACAATTGTGACCGTGAAACAAACAACCGTGAAATTGGTATATTGTGGCAAAGTTTGGAGTTATTGAAAAACCATCTACGGGTAAATTCCGCATACCAATTCTTTTTTCTGAGCCATTGAGTCCGTGTTGAATTTTAATGTTTTGTGAATAACTAACCCAGTCTAACCATGAACAAGCTTTTGAAATATTAGGTGCAGTTTTTGATTTTTTAAAACGATTATTCCCGTCCGATTTCCATCTCACAGGAAATCCGGTTGGAAGTTTTTCACCAATAGCCATCAAGTATAAAGCGTTTGCATCTAATCCTAATACCGACTCACATGTTTGAGCGGATTCATCATTATAGTCACCACGTATTTTTGTCACACCCGCCTCATGATACCGATGAAATATCTGTGCGGGTCCACCTACCAAATTGGAACGTATCAGTCTATGTATATCAGAATTTTGTTCGTTTGGAACGGTGAAAACAGTGTTTAAGTTTCTAAACATGAATTGAAGGGTTAACCCCGGGACAGATATAGGTGCTTTAAACATGTCAATTTGTGTTTTAGATTTATAAATATCAAATTGTTTTGCAATAGCATCGAGGAAAGGTGTTACATCCTGTGTATTGTAATAAATGAGATAATCTCTTAATGATTTCATATTACGTTCCCGCCAAACAGTTTTACACTGTTCATATTCAGCCTCAGTAATATTTTTATTTTTTAAATTACTAAAAAAAGCTGAATGAGGTGGTAACTCTTTATCTTCTAATTTTTTCAAATCATCAATGTACTCATAAGGGAAAAGCCCTTTAGAAACGTTCAATAGGAACGCTTTGAGAAATTTATCATAAGTATAACCGGGTGCTAAATAATTCATAATATCTAAAAATCTGAATTTTTCAGTTTGTAAACACATAAATTTATTTCCTCTTTTTAATGAAAAAATTTTGGAATTTTGTAATTTGAAAAATTTTATCAGATACGGTTTAATTACATTAATATCATATTTTCCAGAGTTATATCCGAGAATTATAATTTGCTTCATAAATTTAATTAACATACTCTTTAATATATTTAAGCAATGTTTTTCGGGTGAAGGGTTTGAAATAATAGAGTGTCTGGAGGCGAAATCTCTCTCGCGTTGCAGTAAATCCTGAAGTTTTTTATTAATTTGTATAATATAAGGTTCAAATTCAGAAAACAACAGTTTATACGCTTGTTTTTGAATATCATCAATATATTCCATCATTTGAAATATTAATTGTTCTGGATCACCTTCAGTTATGAAACATTTAGCATCCGTGAATTCAGGGACATTAGAATTTATTGCAACACTAAGGGGGACATGCTCTTTGAGGTATTTGGTGCATTTAGTATCTTTAATTTCGTTTGTTATGGGAAAATAACACTCAAAATCAAAAGTTACTCGAAAAGGATAATATTGTTGGTTTAAGGGGATATTAATATTAAAATCTTCAAGTCTTTCAAAAACAGTTTTTTGATTTTCATAAACACCACTTATAAATTTTTCTTTTTGATGAAGCGAGCAATTACTTGAATGTCTATTTAATTTCCATAAACAATGCCATAACTTTTGACAGGTTTCGCATCGATAATTTTTTGCATAACTGAAAAAAAAAAAAAAATCATTGGAAACAGAATACACGAGTTGGTACAAAAAAAAAAAAAAAAATTGGTAAAAACTTACCCTTTAATATCAGTGATGTAGCTGAAATGATTTTGGTAAAGGTTGACATTGAGAGTATCAGTTGAGTTTGTAAACTGGCTTCTTCGAATCACAATGGCAGTATCAGAGTTTAATAATGAGAATACGTTGACACGAACTTGAAAGCAGTCTTCTATTTTATCCAAGTCCAGTATTGAAACTCCTTCACTTGGGTCTTTCCCCGTGAATTGTGCAAAACGTTGAGCGGCTACCTCAGTGTCTTTCACAAAATTGTTTTTAGAGGGGTCTCGCAAAATTGCCAGGCAGCGAAACATACACAACTTATCCGTGTAGGGAATGTTATAATATTTATCAAGACTCAGAACAAATTTTGAGTTTTTGATGAAGTCTGGTAAACTGACAGGGCAACCAATAAGGTTAAAATTCGTTTTGTTAACGAAAAAACAAATGTTTGTTACTGACTCCACTTTATCAGAACTTGTAGGCTTCTGACATCTTGCCCATTCTAAACCCATAGTCGTATCAACAAAGTCCATAAATCTTAAAAATTCGCGTTCAGAAGTTATTATTTGTGGTTCTATAATGGCACCCTCATTTGGGGACGGATGAAAATATCTGAATTGATTTTCAGTGTCAATGGAAGAATTTTTCAAAATATACCCGAATGAATAACTGATTTTAAATGAAGAAGTTTGACCATCAAATATTGCCCGAAAACTATCTGCTGCGTTTTCGAAACCAGAGTTTAATAAACGGAAATTGTAAAAGTCTTGTGTGTTGTTGCCTGTTGAAAATTGAGTTTTAATGGAAGCCCAGTGACGTCTGTACACAGCTGCGACATGCGGATTTAAAGTTTCACATACCTCATCAATAGTTTCAGACTTAAAAGTGTTATCCCTTTTACGTTTCTTAGTTTTGGGTTTTTCTGTAGGTGAATAACGTTTTCTGGAGATCTTCTCTGTTGATGTAGTGACGCATTGAGCTTCTGTTGCCGATGACTTGTTTTTCTGATTTTCTCGCTTTTTAGCGGCAGTTTGAAGTTGGAGAGATGAAGAATTTAAATTCTTCTCAGTACACTGACTTTCTGATTGTTGAACGCTCAAATCAAGAGATTCTGAGACCGGTACCATCAAAAAGTTTTTCTTCATACGTTGATTTTTTGCTTGTTCAGCTTTTCGCGACGTTTTGCTCAAGTTAAGAGGCTCAGTGAATGATGTTATTAATGTCTGCTTTCTTACATTAAGAGGTTCAACTGATTTGGGCGAAGAGGTTTGTTCAGTGTTCAAAGTTTTCGTCTTTGTCTCTTCCATTTTGTTATGTCTCTTGAGACTATCTTTTCTTGAGAATATTCTCCCACATTTATGACATTCATATCGTCTCTTTATGTGTATCGTCTTCTGATGCCTTGACAAGTACCTTTTAGCTGAGAACCGTTTCAAGCATATTTCACAAGTATAACTAGGCATAATTATAATATTAACTATAATCTAAAAACAAAAAAAGCACATATTACAAAACACAGTAAAAATGAATATTCATATGAATGTAATTAATGATAATGGTGGGACACTTGAGCACATGTGATAAGAGTAATTTCATTTAATATGATAGCAGGTTCGCCTTCAAACATTGCTTTTATTCCCAAAACGATATCATGCTCCATATTCACAAATCTGAAAAAGAAAAATATTATTAATATTATCTCTTTGAGTGAAATATGAATTTTATATACGTTAATAGTAACTTACGTTAAACAAGGTATTTCCACTTGAAAACCTCTTTGAACTAAAGAGCTCATAAAACATGTAAATAAATCCTTGGCTTCACAAAAACAGAATATCTTTAACGGGAAGGTAATTAATTTAGGTTTTTGGTTTCCTTTTACACGTCGTTGAATATTTACTGGTAATATTTTATTAAGTTGAAATAGTTCATAAAGAAGTACTTTACACGAGATGTTACGTAACCCATGCAAATTCAAACTGGACAATGGTGAATAAATGAAGCGTCTTAATGCGTATTTAACCGCTAAGCGTTCAGTGTAGCAAAAACCGCTTAGTCCCATGTATGTAGAAAGATTAAATTCGGGGTGATTTGAAATAGTCATTGCAGTGAAAACGCATGATGCTAATAATACTTCTGTATGATATGAGAGTTTTTTGTTTTCATCATTTGGGCTGAAAGTTAACTCCTGAATATGTTTGATTATATTTTGTGTAATAGTTATTATTAACTTTTTAGGTAAAGAGAGTTTAAGAATAATGGGTTCGTGTATGTTCAGATATAAAGATTGCTGAATGTGATACACGATAACTTCATAACACATATTCAACAAATTAATGGGTTTCATTTTAAATGTAAGACTTAATTAACACATATACATGGAGAGATAATTAAAAAAAAACGTTATGATTAGTTGTTATTGACGGCTTGATAAGCGGTGTACACTTGCTCTAAACAATCCCGACAAAGTCGGGGCCAAGGAATAGATGTTTCAGTAGAACTATCAGCGGTCCGTATTTTGCGTGATCTTTTAGTGCCTTTTGCGGGTTCGTCTTTTTTCAATGGTCTGTGATAAAATAATAATGTGATAAAAATTAAGTCGTATGATTGCATACGCTATTAAGTAAACAGTACCTTTTCTTACGCGGTGTTGGCAAAGTCTTACTACAGCATGGTACCTCGGTCTGTTTTTTCTCTTCAACAAAAACTTCTGTTTCAATCGGTTTAACTCTAAAATTTAAATTAAGTTATAGATGTAATAATTAAGTATTATCAGGCGGAATTAATTCATAAAATAGCCTTACTCTTGCTCAGACTCCAGTATTACTTGACGTATGATATTATCTAACTCTTCTTCCTCAGAAAACGACATTTTTTCAATTCGGTAGACTTGAAAAAGATATATTAAGTAGTTACTTGATGAAAAATTTCAGTCAGTGAAAAATACCTTAAACGTTAAATAATAAAAAAAAAATTTTTACGTAGTAAAAATATCTCAAACGTTAAATATGCAACATTTACATATGTTCATGCTCGTTTCAACTATATTTACTGTCCACTGTTTTATTATTAATAATAATTCGTTAGCCACTCGTATACCTTGTGATGACACTGACTGCGAGGAATTGAGCGGCGAAGTCTTCAGCACTGAAGTGTTAAACGAAACCACGACTTTTTATCCTAAAAATGTAGATGAAGAATTTTTTTTCATATACACCCCGTATTTATTTATTATTTTTTGTTGTACTTCACTTATCTCTTGCTTTTGGGCAATAATTTTAAGAAAAACTAAAAACAAAAATAATCATATTTGTAAAGCGTGACCCGTTAACTTATTTAAATTGGGCAGAATCAGACTTGTTTGAATGTTATTGTGTCAGTTGAAGGTTCATTTGAGTGAACATAGTAACTTACTTTTTAAACGATAAAAACATATTAACCTATTTTTAATGCTAAAATAGGTGAAAGAGATATATTGCCGGTCAGGTTAAAATTGATAAATTAACAAACAGAGAAAAGGTTTATTAAATCACGATCTATTAACTTATTTAAATTGGGCGTGTTCAGACTTGTTTTCTTTGTGACATCAACATAAAAGTAATAACCTACTAATGATTGTTTTTCTGAAAATAAAATAAGTTTATGCAAAATATTACAAAACCTGGTTGACCTTATATAAAAAAAGTCGTTACATAAATTATCATTTAACGCCTTTTTTTTAAAATGATAAGAAAAAATGTTTTTTTAAAAAACATATATATACTTGAAAAAACGTGCGAAATCTTCATAAACTAACTACGCAAAATGGCTGAATGTGCATGTGATATCTCTAACATTACTGAAGAGGGGACTGGTGTTACTCTCAGAGGTGTGATCACGAAATTGACTCCGGTTAAAACTAGTAGCAATACCAAATATTTCTTTGGTGAAATTTCAGATGGTTTGAAATCTATGAAATTTGTATGTTTCTCGGAAAGACATTACCGAATTATGGAACATTTTAAAAGCGTCTCATCGCCGGTCCTGCTCTTACATGTTAACGTAAAAATGGGAAAGTATAACGACAAACTGGAAATAAATTTAACAAGAAAATCAGAAGTTGTGGAATCATTAAAACAGATGGTAGTGGAAACGAAAGAAGCCAGTTTTTATAAGATAGCTGATATACTGAAAAATAATGTCATGGAAGCGAGTGTTAAAATCAGAGTCATATCACTTGATGCCGCTAAACAGATTCCATTGAGAGACAAAATTGTTGATCAACAGACCGCTTATGTGTTTGATGGAACGGGTGAAATACCCTTTTCTCTCTGGGGAAAAGAAGTGAATACATTACCACTGGATCGAAATCTTGAAATTACCAATTTAAGAGTGAAATCTTACAAAGACTCTAAATTTTTACAGCTGACACCATATTCCGCAGTATCTGGCATAGAAAAATAACTTGTTGTGATGCTATGATTATTTTCGTGTAAATAAATTTTTGTATATAAGGAATAACAGACTTATGTTTTTATTTCTGTAAGGTAATATAAGACAGATATGGTTGCAGAATTACAACACCCCTTCGCTGCAATTATTGCCGGCCCCTCAAAATCAGGAAAGTCATTTTTTACTGAAAAATTAATACGAAATAAAGTTCAAATGATTAAACCTCCCCCGGAGAGAGTTATTTATTGTTACACAATGTGGCAACCACTTTATAAAAATATCCACGGTGTTGAATTTCAGGAAGGATTATCAGGGTTGAAAGAATTATCAGGAAATGAGCGAGTTCTTGTGATTGCTGATGATATGATGAATGATTGTGATAAGGAAATAAGTGAAATATTTACAAAATATTCTCATCATCAAAACTTATCTATTATTTATATCACTCAAAATCTGTTTTATAAGGGTCCGAAGAGTCGATTAATAAGTTTAAATGCGAATTATATCGTTTTATTCAAGTCACCTCGTGATATGAGTCAAATTTCATTTTTGAGTCGGCAAATGTTTCCAAGAAATAGTAAGTTTTTAATAGAAGCTTATACCGATGCGTGTAAACAAGCCCACGGATATTTATTTCTTGATTTAACGCAACAAACTGATGATAAGTATAGAGTGGGAACACAGATATTTCCTGGTGAAAAACACGTTGTTTACTTGCCGAAATATAAATAACAGAAGCAAAATTAAAATTGTTTAGTTTGTGTACACTCAACGGTATGTCACCTCACAGACTCCGACGTCACTCTAACACATTACATTTCTTAAACAAAGCAAAACCAAGAGAAATTAAATCAGTTATCAGAGCAGCGAACAAGGACTTAATCTTTGCAATCTGTGAGTGCGCAAAAAATATTTTAAAAGGGAATATTAAATTATCCGAGTCTCAAAAAAATAAACTGAAAAAGCACAAAAGTGCTCTTCGTATCATTGGGAAAAAAAGTACCCCCCTTTCAAAAAGAAAAAGAATTATACAACGTGGGGGGTTCCTTGGTACGATCCTTGGTGCAATTATCCCATTATTAACTGGTGTATTCGGCTCCCTAGTAAAACATTAATAATAAAAATGAATTACACTAAAAAAATGATTTTAGTTGAACCTCATGTGGCAGAATCACTACCCTTAAAAGACCCTGAGAGTAAAAACTTTTTGTCTAATTTAGATACTGAAATGCAATCAATTTTGCAACGCTCAGATTTAAATGAAAATGAAAAGGTTTTATTTTACCAACAAGCGTTACATAGATATCAAAATGTTTCAAAATTAATGAAAAAGCCATTACGTGTGTCAGTAGAGAAAATATCTAATCACGTTAATCACGATAACATCTTGAACGCTTTTCCCGTTTCACAGCGTGAAAAAGTAAAACCGATTTTAGATACATTCAAGCGTTCTAATACCATTTTGTGGGATAAAAAGGGGCAATTCATTCATGACGGTCAAGTCATTCCAAACACAAATATTATCGATTTACTTGATGACGTAACACGAGTAAAGAAAAAACCAGCACTTGGTCATGATAAATTTGCAGATACAATTAAAAATTTAAACGTACCAGGTATGTTCATTATAAATAAGCGTCGATACGTAAAAAGTGAACATTCGCCATTGAAATGGGAGACTTTATAAATATGCACAGGGATTATTACAATACTCAACTTCCAGGGAGTTATCGCGGATTAGCATCTTTTCGAAAAGGAAAGAATTTAAAAAAAACGAAACGATTTTTATTAACCCAAGATACTTATACATTACATACGCCTGTGCGCAAGCGATACCCTAGACGGCGAGTTATTGTTAGCGGATTAAATCAATTATTTCAAAGCGATTTAATTGATTTACAAAAGCTAGCACGCTTTAATGACGGGTATAAATATATAGTAATTTGCATAGATGTATTTTCAAAATATGCTTGGGCTGTTCCAGTGAAAAACAAAACAGGTGAATCTTTAATAAAGGCTTTTACACGTATTATTAAACATCACACCCCTAATAAACTTCAAACGGATAAAGGTACAGAATTCTTAAATAAAAAATTTCAAATATTTCTGCGTAAAAATAAAATCCATTTTTATTCAACAAATAGTGAATTAAAAGCGAGTATAGCTGAACGATTTATACGTACAATAAAATCCATCTTATGGCGCTATTTTACCGGTAACAATACATTACGATACATTCATGTATTACAAAAATTAATTAACACTTATAATCACACATTTCATACCTCTATTAAACAAACTCCAGCTTCCGTTAATATTGATAATCAGGAAACGGTTTGGCAGACTTTATACGGTAAATCTAGCTTATCTGAGAAACCTAAAATACCAATAAACACTCTAGTACGTGTCAGTACAAATCGCGGAATTTTCAAAAAAGGTTATTCAGCTGGTTGGAGTAATGAAATTTTTACAGTTAAAAAAGCAGAATGGGGATCTCCCCCTGTATATAAACTTGTTGATTTTCATAATACGCCTATTAAAGGTCGATTCTATAAGCAGGAATTACAAATAGTAGAAAAGACTAAAGATTCTGTTTACGCCATTGAAAAAATTTTAAAAACGCGAAAACGTGGCCGACAAATTCAATATTTAGTGTCTTGGTACGGCTACCCGGAAGAGTTCAATTCCTGGGTGAACAAAAACGATATAAAACAATATAAATATAACTGATCACTCACTACTAATTCTTCCAATATGTCAACAGAACAGACAGAGACTCGAAAAAAAAATTTTAGCCCAGAGTTAATTTATCTATCACAAATATTTATTCTGTTCACAGTCATCGTGGCTTCTATTTATAATTTATCAACAAATTCAAGTGATCGAGAAGTCTGGTTATCGCTTTTATCAAGTTCAATCGGATACATTTTACCGGCACCCTCTGTTAAGAATTCACAGTAACATGTTATATCTAACTCTATCATCTGAACATGACAGTAAATATTTTCCAAACAACACACCTTCTTCCTTCACAGTAAAACTCCCCAAGTCAGTTAATTTATCAGGGGGTAATTATGAAATTGGATTGAGTGAAATATTTATCCCCGTAAGTTATTATAATGTACCCAGCACCAGTTTAATTTTAACTATAGGTACAATAAGTGTGAAGGAAGGGCGAGAAGTCATACACAAAACAACACTTAAAAGTGGTCATTATGAAACTCCGACACTAATTATAAATGCTATTAATGATGATTTCAGTAAAATCCCTCTAGCTCCTAAATTACAATATCATAATCATGGTCATTATACCGAAATTACCTTACAACCAAATACGTTTCTTATAATGTCACCACCTCTACTCAAACTGTTAGGGTTTGATCACGATTTGTATAACACTTCACGTCATTCCACAGTATTTACATCAAACATAACTAGATTTAACGTACATTCAAATTTATTATATATTTATTCTGATATTATCACTGAGCAAGTGGTAGGTCATAGAATGCAACCACTCCTGCGTGCACTTGCAATTGTAAAGCCTTACGGTCATTTACAACACACTACATTTTCTCGCATACATTACCTACCGTTACGAGTTACCGATTTTCATTCCATCTCCGTAAATATAAAAGATTCCTTTAATGAAAACATACCATTTCACTGGGGAGCAGTAACTTTAACCTTACACCTCCGGAAAAGACACGTGAATCATTTGTAAAATGTATTCAACAAAGGTGGACTATTGTTGTCAAAAATATAAGGCAGATTTCGTAAAATATTACGTCCAGCAAGCGGCCGGTGGAGTCTCACCAGCATTTATTCAAACCGGAAAGGGTCTTGGAGGCATATTCCGGAACCTTGGAAAGAGTATTGTCCCTTTTCTAGCAAAGGGCGCAAAAGCGGTTGGATCTGAATTATTACACACGGGTGTTCGAATGGCGCATGATGTGTTAAACGGTAAAAATATCAAGTCTTCCTTACGTGATCAATCAAAACAAGCCGGTCGGAATTTACTGAATAAAGTTACATCACCTCCCACAGGTATTAAAAGGAAGCGTAAAAGGTATAACACCTTCATTCCATCAAGACCCCGCAAACGTGTAAGAAAAGAAAGAGACATTTTCGAGTAACATGGCAAAGCTTGTTCACGGATTCAGTGCTGAATGCGCCAAATCGGAATTAGATTTATTTCAAATTCCACCGACTCAAGCATCTGTTTTAAAGGGGAAATTTACAGAACATCAACCTATTTCTTCGATTCATTACGGATCACCAGTTGAATTTTTAATTTCAGCCATTGACTCCCAATATCTAGATCTCGCAAATTCTTATATGTACGTCAAATTTAAAATTGTGACCGGTGATAATAATAATATCCCGGATGATGCAGTTGTAGCGCCGGTTTCAAATTTTTTAAACTCAATGTGGCGTCAGATAGAAATTTCATTGAATGATGTCAATCTCGAAGGCAGTCACACAAACTATCCTTATCTGGCCTACATTAATACCCTACTCGGATTCAATACAGAGGCTAAACGATCACAGTTAAGCGGCTCGCTTTGGTTCCAAGATAAAGCCACGCATTTTGAATCTACAAATAACAATAACACGGGTTTTGCGAAAAGAAGACAATTTGTCACTGGTGGTCGAAGTGTTGATTTAATGGGAAAGCTATGTTCTGACATATTCAATCAGCCAAGATATATCATTAATGGAACCAAATTAAAAGTTAAATTGGTACCGAGTAGCGACGCATTTTGCTTGCAAGCTGCAGCTGCAGATAATATTTATAAAGTAAAACTTTTAGATATTTCTCTGTTTATAAGAAGAGTCGAAATAAGTCCATCTGTTCAACTGGGCCATAACACAGTACTCAATACAAATAAAACGGTGAAGTACCCAATCACACGCTCAGAAGTTAAATCTTTTTCAGTCCCCCGAGGGGCTCTAAATGTTTCCAATGAGAACTTATTCGCCGGAGCACTCCCGCACAAAATTATAATTGGGCTAGTGGACACATTAAGTTATGCTGGCTCTATTAACCGAAATCCGTTTAATTTCAAACATTATGATATGAATTTTATATGTTTGTATAAAAATGGTCAGCAGATACCGAGTACACCCTTCACACCTAATTTTGAAAATAGAAATTATATACGTTGCTACGAGAGTTTATTTTTCGGCACGCAAAGATTTGGTCTCAATGATGGAATCCCTATTACCCGTGAAGAATACCCAGGAGGCAATACACTAATATGCTTCGACTTATCACCAGACTTAACAAATGGAACGGCCTTTGATTTAAAGGAGTATGGTTCATTACGGCTCGAGATAAAATTTGCAAACGCTCTACCAGTACCTGTCACGATAATAGCTTTGGGGCAGTTTGATGCTTTTATCGAGATTGATAGATTAAGGAGCGTTTACCCCGATTTTAAAAGTTAAAATGAATACCCAACAACTCGATTTCCTATTACAAAACCATCCGAATACGAAAGGAATAATTTTACAAACTTTAGCACTGGATCAACTACCTAAGAAAAAACCTCACGCACCTTACGGTTTTATTAGTAATACAGATCCCAGTACAAGAGGAGGAACCCACTGGGTTTCTATATACGATGATGGAACTAACAGACCAGAATATTTTGACAGTTATGGAATAATACCCTTCAAGAGTGCTTTCTACGATTTTCTGGGCGAGCATTTTACTATGAACACTAAAAAGTTACAGTCTAACAATACACAGACTTGTGGGCAGTACTGCGTTTACTTTCTGATTAAAAGATGCCAAGGACTTTCTATGAAAGCAATTGTGAATCATTTTGGAGAAGATTATGCAGAGAATGACATAGCAGTTTTTGATTACATACGTCAAATTCAAGATATTATAAAATTTACTTAAGCCTGAATATATAAACTCATCTGTAATTTACTTCATTAGTATAATACGTTTAAATCATTTTATTTTCTGTCATTATATTTCATTTCAGTGTTACTTTTAAAACGTAATAAAACGAGACTTAAAAATAATTGTGCATTTACTCACCAGGTCAGCTTCAAAGATTTAGCTTTTCGTCTGAAAACTATGTCTAGTTAGTTTCAAATACAAACTCGTTTCTTTACTTTTACTAAAGTACTAACGTAAAAGTTACCAACCAAGTAGTCTGTCACTGTACTAGGTCTAATTTCAACCGTCATTCAAGTAATACTGGTCGATGTAACATCCTGAACTATTTAAAACCCGCGTTAAGAAAAAAAAGCGTCACACAATTTAAAATTTCATCAAGAAGCGACTAATACAAATTATTACGCACCACTTGGTAAAAACTCGCATTATAATTAAAAGAAGAGTAATAACTTCACGCCGAATAAATGAAATCAATGCGTGTTCCTTTTTCTCAAAGGAAGTTAACAGCTTTTCATATGCGTGTTCCTTTTTCTCGAAGGAAGTTAACAGCTTTTCATTATCACTAATTTATTAAACTGATTCAGCGACTGTTATCCTACTGTGAGTTCAACGATTCATCAATTAAAAAAATATTGCGTTCTCACAGTTAAATTCATTATCGTTTCCCGCTGAAGCTTATCAATTATACAACCGATTCCACCCCGTTTAAACAATAATGCGATTTTTCTCTCTCCCCAATTCCTCAAAGTCTTATCCATTAAAGAGTGAAAATTAAACAATAACGCGATTTTTCTCTCTCCCAATTCCTCGAAGTCTTATCCATTAAAGGGCGAAAATTAAACAATAGCGCGATTTTTCTCTCTACCAATTCCTCGAAGTCTTATCAATTAAAGGGCGAAAATTAAACAATAGCGCGATTTTTCTCTCTCCCAATTCCTCGAAGTCTTATCCATTAAAGGGCGAAAATTAAACAATAGCGCGATTTTTCTCTCTACCAATTCCTCGAAGTCTTATCAATTAAAGGGCGAAAATTAAACAATAGCGCGATTTTTCTCTCTCCCAATTCTCATGTCAAGGTCTTATCGAGCGAGATAGAAACACCCCTGACCCCTCTAGCGAATACTCTAATACCTTACCGAAAAAGTGGACATGTCCTGTCCATGTAGAGCAATGTGAATGTGGAGCAATGTGGAGTAAGAGCATTGTGGAGTATTGTGGAGTATTGTGGAGTATTTGTGGAGTATTTGTGGAGTATTGTGGAGTAATTTACCAATTCTGGACAACATCATATACTACTTACGTGCTTTTCAAATAGTAGCATAAATAATTGCTCCAAACTATAGCAAAAATGTAAAACTTCCTTTAAGCTCTATTTGAAATACCTCCCTATAAAATCTAAATAAGCAATACTAACTAGCCTATGATTCTTGAATGCTCGATTATAAGTCTATTAATTCGGTCAGATTCTCACAGACCACCATAAGTGTTAGATTACTCTAAAAACCCCAATATATAAGCTGAACTGATATACTACTAGGTGTACTGAAACATCGGTAGTAGATACCAAATTAAGCATCGCATCTTCCCGCATAAAGAAAGTAAATGCTAAGATACCCACTCCGAATTTGAATTAAACCAACATATTAATTGTTCTCTACCGTAGAGATTTGTGATCAACAGTTATCATACTTCCTTCGTTCTGTATATGCTTGTGTACATACTTGAAATAAAATAAAATAGAGAGGAGGAAAAGGTTTGGGAAAGGGGGGAGCAAAGCGTCATCGCAAAGTGTTGCGTGACAACATCCAGGGAATCACAAAGCCCGCAATCAGACGTTTGGCACGCAGAGGAGGTGTCAAACGTATATCGGGACTCATCTACGAGGAAACTAGAGGAGTTCTCAAAGTATTCTTGGAAAATGTTATCCGTGACGCCGTGACATACACCGAGCATGCCAAAAGAAAGACTGTTACAGCCTTGGACGTCGTGTACGCTCTGAAAAGACAAGGACGAACTCTCTACGGGTTCGGCGGTTAGATAGCTCATCCAACGAACGTTTCAACAACGGCTCTTTTTAGAGCCACCCATGCCATTGTCAGAACTGGGGTTGTTTCATTAATTTTGAAGTTTCACACTTGACCATTATATTTAGATATATATCGCCTACTTGCTCGTGGACTCAGGCAATTTTACGCCTTGCTTGCTATCGCTTCGAAAGCGTCCGCCCCACATTTCCCGCTCTTTCGTAACGCGCGTTTTCTTGCTCGTGGACTAGAGGCATTTTGACGCCTTGCTTGCTATCGCTTCGAGAGCGTCCGCTCACATTTCTTTATCGTGGACCGGGGCAATTTTACGCCTTGCTATCGCTTCGAGAGCGTCCGCTCACATTTTTCCCGCCCTTCGACTCATTTATTGTTCGTTCGTTAATCGGTCCGCGCGAAATATATTTCCCGCCATTTTGTTAAAGCACGTGGCAAAGGGATCGAGGGCGTGTAGTTAGCCAATTGAATCTCGTAAAAGATCAGAGGTTTCGAGTGACGAACTCTTTGTGTATGATGTTCGGGTGGCTCTAAAAAGAGCCGTTTTATATCTCTGGCGATCCCACCTATGTCTGACTACTTCTTTTTGGCGGCGGTCTTTTTCACAGTCTTCTTTTTGGGGGCCGACTTTTTGGGAGTCTTTTTTGTCGCCTTCTTTGCGGCGGGCTTCTTCGCAACCTTCTTTACGGTGGCCTTTTTGGTTCCCCGTAGCGGTTTTCTTAGCCTTGGGCTTCTTTGCGGCTGCCTTCTTCACGGGTGCAGTCTTCGGCTCTTGGCTGCTGGCTTTTTCTTCTGTGCCGACGCAGTCTTATTTTTCTTTGGCGGTTCCTTTTTGGTAAGTCTGTAGCTTCTGGTGCTTTTGGCAAATCCGTTTTAAGCGCGCCTTCGTCGACCAGACTTTTGAGGGCCCTCTTAAGGTGGATTTTCGCCTGATCTGATTTCACGCTGTAATTTGCTTCGACGTATTTCTTTATGGCGCTCGCGAGGATCCATTTTTTAGTGTGAGTAGCTTTCACGGCGCCATTGCCATTTCCTTGTAGGATGGATGCGCTGCAGGCGCCCGCTTCTGAACGGTTTTCTTTGCGGCAGTAGACATGTTGCGATACGATTGTTCTGACCAGGTTATGTCGATTAAAATGTAACTCGTCGCCACCAGACGCTCTATGTTTAAGGACCTCGCGGTCCAGAGCGGACGCGCTCGAAACGCTATGCAACGTCGCGTCACCGACTAGCGTAACTTTTGAACAAATTTGTGCTTGTCTACTCGCACCAAAAGTAGTTTTGAGATCGAAGCTCGATGTTTTCCAGCAATACAATGGTGATTGGAGTAAAGAACGCATTATATACGCTTTATCCAGCACTTGTTCCTCGAATTCGGAAAGCGCACAAACGTGATAACCGCTAAATAAAGTGAATTACGACACATCTTCGATTTCCTCGTTTTTGGCAATTGTAACATACAACAAGACGTTTTTGTACTATTACCTGGCGAATCGCTTCAACTATTAAATATATTGTTTGGCAACTGAAAGATACATGACAACAACATTATTGGGGCATTCCATGGACGCAAATTCACGAAAGCAAGAGCTTTTATCAGACATCTACTTCGCGGGAAAAAAACTGACGCATTTTTTTTATACAATTTCTTCGGTATCTTTCCCCAAATCGAATATCGGTTATAGGTTCCTGACTTTTTATCCGCTCTACATATATACATATATAGAGAGAGAACAGTTGTAAGTATTTGACATGCTCGTGAAGATTTCAAGTACGAGTGTTATTTACGCTCGGATTATAAGTCACACACAAACAATATAGCAAGAGTTTAATTTTATTTCCACAAAAATAGAAACTAAGCCAGAAGATTAACAAAATAATGGTTTTTCGTGACATCAGAAAGGCTAAAATAACAAAACAATGATATTTTTGGCAGCGTTTGTTGCCAGAAGCGCAACCATTGCAGAAAGTTTTTCCGCACTTTATCATATGGCAACATTCACAAAGATCGGCAGAGAAATTCAATCGAATACCTGGAATTTCCACGATGCCACGTACAAGAAAGCAAAAATGGGAACACACGCGAGTCACAATAGGTTCCAATTAAAATTTTCGCCATTCATTCGCCAAACCAATAAAACAAAATTTATATATATAATCAAGACACAAATACCTTCGGTAATATTACTGAGTGGCGACGATGCGAACTTTTTGGGTCATTGGAGTATGTTGCCACCCAACCCAATCAAATGAGGTATAAAATATAAAACCGGCTCAGTACCAATTCCATCAACACATCCACTCTTGTTCGTTCATTATATATAATATATTCATATCTTGTCTGGTTTCTTCTTTTTTTTCAATTTGGGATATTTGAAATTACTGTTTCATGGTGAAACGTGCTATTCTGAGTTATGCTATCTAATCATTCACTTTCTGTATTTGTATTGCATACAATTATGCAGATCATAGAAAGGTTCGGGACCAAATGGGTTAGCATGTCATATTATTCTAAAAATTTGCATATCTGGGAATGCCAACAGTGAAAGTGCACAAGTAAATACATGTAATTCAAGGCGGTTATCACATTCCAGTTTAGTATCGATAACGCAAAATATTTTGCAAAGTCATAAATCTTCTTCAATTTGGGGCCATTCATTGTTAAATTGATGGTGGGTGAATATTGTCTTTTGTTATCACGGTGATAATTAAATATCATTAGTGTGAGAATTTTCTGGATTTGTCGGTAATTTGTAGGATTTCATTCTTTCTCTGGTATTTTGGAAATTACGTATATCTTTGCTGGAAAGTTGAGTAAGTACATCAGAAGGTATTGAGTTTTTTTTATATGTATCATCGGCGAAGAGTTTTAACAAAAAGCCGAGGTACAATTTGCCACGTTATTGGCCTTTACACCTAGAAAACGGGGTTCGGGCCGAAAACACGTTGAGGATCTGATGTTTTGGAAGGAAAGTAGATAAATAACTCGACTATTGACCATCCCGATAGCAGAAATGGGTTCAAGTTTGCTGATGGAATAATAATTTTTGGCAGCCCACCAATCAAATATCTAAGACTTCAAAATAATATCCATTGAGTTTGCGTGCTTTGCGATACATGAACATGAGAGCTGTTACGCCTCCAAGTAGAATTTGTCGACCCGGCTTTCAAATTCTTGTAAAGCCTGAATGATCGACTCGCAGAATTGAATGGACGTGTACTCTTCTGTTAATTTCATAATTCTCTACATAATACTATCGTGAAATATAAAAGTGATAAGATCGCATACGGTTCACGAACCAACTGCCGACCGTCACATACAAAGGCAGATGGATAGATGCGCGAACCAACCTAATATGTTCGACTCGGCTGTGACAAAACATTAAACTCGACAGTGTTTGAGTTGGTGGCACTGAAAAGTGCCGTTTATGTGATTTAATGTGGCGATCCGACTTAAGAACTCTTCGACGTCTTTTTTGGCAAAAAGCACGGCCTGGATGTTGGGTAACACACCACCTTGGGCGATTGTGACTCCGCCCAGTAGCTTGTTCAGTTCTTCGTCGTTCCTAATAGCCAATTGCAGATGGCGAGGAATGATCCTGCTTTCTTGTTGTCACGGGCAGCATTGCCTGCCAACTCGAGAACTTCAGCGCTCAAATATTCCAGAACTGCAGCGAGGTACACGGGTGCCCCTGCTCCAACACGCTGTGCGTTAGTTTCCTTTGCGGAGCAGTCGGTGTACTCTGCCGACTGGAAATTGCAGCCCAGCGCGGGACGACCGGGTCTTAGACTTCGCCTTCGATTTGCCGCCTTTACCTCTTCCAGACATGTCTTTCGTTTTTTTTTTTTTTTTTTTTTTTCTAATCTTTACGGATCAGAGTTTTTCCAGTCCCGGATCAGTGTCTTAAAGACACGTCATATCCGAGTCATATCGGTATTACGCTTCATAAGCATGCCACTGCATAAGCAGCGATCATACACGAAAGGCAGCTTCCGTATTCGCTATGCATTGCAAGGCAAAGACTTCGGCCCCGAGCATCAGTCGTGCTATGTGCCAAATAGCAGGACGTCTGCCCAGGGCTTCCGTCAATGCCATGCTCAACACAGCTCAACTTCCGCCGCCCCGGTTTCAGTACATACTGTGTGACGACTTTTTTTTTTTTTTTTTTTTTTTTTTTTAAATGCGTACACCCAGCATAACATAAGATTTTGAGGACGGCGAGTTCACAATTATCATCGTAAGTATTGTTGAATATCTGTTGGCGATGTATGACTAGGGTTTGTCCCGTTAACTTTTCTATTGTCCCGGAGACTGCATTATGGAGTGTCAGGTACGCTGGACAATTCAAAAAGATGTGCGGAGTTGTATCCGGGGCGTTTTTGCAGAGTTTACAGTTTCGTAGTGGTTTCTGGGAGTTTATATTATTTCGAAGTAGGCCGAACCTCCATTTCCGGTGTCCGAAAAGAAAGCCGTCTCTTTTTATTCGGTATGAGACCTGACGCTCGACATTGGAGAAGTAGGGCTTTATTTGTCTATTCATTAAATGGATTTTATGCCAATCACAATCATCCGTACTAGAGCTTTCGTACGTGTTTTCCCTAAGTTTGTTGTAGAGAAATTTCAGTGTGGTTCCTTCCCATTCAGATGGGGCTAATTTTATGACATGACTAATGTTGAGGATATGCTGCCAGTGGTGGTCAATTTGGATTGCGTGGGTAGCCGAATTACTATACATATACGGGTTGAAAGACTTTATTTTAGATCCAGCGTGTAGAGTGCTTCGTGATGCCAAAATTCGATTGGAGTGTTACTGTTAAGCAATATGACTAATTTTTGGAATAGGCTCGCGTGGGATTTTAATTTAACATCTATCATATCCATTCCACCCTTAGCTCCCAGGCAGAAGCATCGTTTTTCTGGAAATGGTTTCTAAGTATTCGGGGTGCCATAGATATTTAAAGATAATGGATTGGAGTTTGTTGAGGTGACGTAATGGGATTATCCTGGTTTTCGCGTCCATGAGAGTTTGAGGTAAAACGAGAGTTTGTATTATTGTCCTTTTACCTCTCCATGTGAGATGTCTCGAGTTTGTGTTTTTTAACATATGAGTTTTTTCGAATTTTATGGTCCCAAACTATGTTATCTGCCTCCTTGCCGAAAATGGACTCCTAAGATTTTTACTGTGTCGCGACGGTATTTTTCGAAAGTTGTCCCCTCAATACGTTTTTCGGCCTCACTGTTAATACACAGGATCTGAGACTTTTCTTTATTCAGGGATTGTCCAGTTGCTAGCTGGAACTGGGATAATTTTTAAAAATTTGTTCTAACGAGTATGAAGTTGTAGTAATAAAACTCGTGTCATCCGCGAATTGTTGAATTTTTATCTCTTTCTTTCTTATTTTGACTCCTCGAATATGCCTGTTGTTTAGAATAGCTCTGGTAATTGGCTCTACATTCAGTGAGTAAAGTAGCATGCTTAAAGGGCAGCCTTGACGTATGCCTCTTTTTATGTGAATTTCAGGGGTAAAGGCTCCGTTTATCTCGATTGTACTTTTGATGTTGTAGTATAGATCTTTTATGAGGTTGCAGAGCCTTGTTCCGAGACCGATCTTAGCCAGGAGTCTGTGGATAAAGTCGTGGTTCACCGTGTCGAACGCCTTCATCTGGTCTACGGTTAGGATGGACGCAGGAATTTGGTTCTTTTTCGAATATCTTATTACACTTTCGAGGTTCCTATGTAGGTCCGAGATTTGCCTACCGGGAATGGTGGATTTTTGAGCTGTATTAATTATGTGGTCAAGTTTGAGGATAATCGATTCGATATCAATTTTGCAAGGATTTTATAGTCAAGATTTAGGTTGGAGATGGGCCTCCAATTCTTTAGATCGGCGGTATTCCTTTTTTTTATGTATTAGTATTACTCGGGCTAGTTTCCAACTTTGTGGAATCTTTCCAAAAGCTAAGGCGTTATTGATTACTTGAACGAATTTTTGTTTAATTACCTTCCAGAAAGTTAGATAGAATTCTTTTCCTAACCCGTCGACTCCGGGGGATTTATCATTATCGAAACTATTTACTATGTGGAGAATCTCGGTTTCGGTGACTAACTCACCCAGCTCCTCAGCATCAGAGGGGGACAGCCTTGTGTTGGCCATGGTTTCTATATAGTGGGCCTGAATGGCAGGATGAATGATGGTGGTGGTGCTCCACAGGTTTTTGTAGAACTCATGAGTAGTATTTAGGATTGCCTGTGGGTCATCCGTTGTGGTATTGTTTTCAGTGAGTAAGCGTGTGATGGAGCATTGTTTCTCCCTTGATTGAAAGAAATACTTTGTCGGGCGTTCGTCGTCGCCAGTCACTTCTGCCTTAGAGACAATTTTTCAAATTCCACCTTTTTGACCAGAATACTTGACAAACGTTGCTTTAATAAGTTGAGCTCTGTTTGAGGTATAGTTGAAACGCCTTGTGAGGATTTAAAGATTTCCTCCGCGATTTGATGTTGTTCGGCGATTGAGCGTTTTTTTTGTCGGATACCGAAAGCAATCGCGTCTTTTTTTATCTGATCTTTTACGACATCCCACCAGTTAGGATATTATTGGCGCATTCGAGTCTCCCAGTAGGGTGTTAAATCGGTTAGTGACCATTGGACGAAAGTGGGTCTTTGTAATGGGCCGTGTTGTTCCGCCAATTTCCCATCCCCCATTTTACCCTTTTATATGGGATAAATCAATGGAAGCGAAGTGTAAGTGGTCTGATACTAAGTTTGGATGGTATGAGAATGCTCTAATTTGTGGTTCGACTGTTTTTGACACATATATCCTATCTATACGTCTAAATTGATTCTTTCGTTTAATTGTGAAGATGGTTTTTTTTGGCAATGATTGTGGTATGGGTCGAAAAGGTTATTGTCCTGTATGTATTTATTTAATATTCTCTCACCTTCAGTCAGCTTGAAGGAATTGGTTTGGAGTACGTCAGTTTTGTTAGTCACAGCATTAAAATCACCAGCTAGTACAAGGAGGTCAGGATTCAAGTTGTCAGGGGCTATTCTGGTGGTCAAGATTGTGTAAAAGTCTGCTTGGGCTCTGTAGTGTGATGGGGGACCATATACATTTATAACTTTTATGCTTTTTCCTTGGTGTTGCAGATCTACTGAGCAGGCGCGGTATCTAACATTACATTGTAAGTGATGGTGTTACTTTCAAAATTGTTAGAGCAGCAATATAGCCGTGCCTGCGTAAAAGTGTTTGAGATGGGTTTTCAGTTTATCTGGCGCATTCAAGTAGGCCCTATATCCTAGTTTGGATGCCCATTTTGCGATCTTGTCAGAGTCTATTTGTGGGCTTCCTGAATGAGCATGATGTCGGGGTCATGCGCCTTAATGGTGAGTGCTATTTCGTCTGGATGAACCATGATACCATTTACATTTAGAGATATTAATTTCATGACGTGAGTGTGGGTTTGGAGATTGGATCGTAGTTAAAGGGACATAAAACGTTTGAATTACTTTTCTTTTTTTGCAGTCGGTGGGCCTATCGAAGAGGTTGAGGACGACTTGGTCTTGTCTCTTCCTCTTTTGCTCCGGTTGGGCGAGCGTGTTATTATTGACCTGTCTGATTCCTCAGAGCCTGTTGTTGAGAGGGTGAGATCTTCGGCCTCGAGACAAGCTGGTGCTGATAAGACCTGGGGAGCGTCAGAGAACACGGACGTGTAGGAATTTAAACATTGGTCGAGATCGTGGGTATTACTATTCCTGGTATATGAGACTCCGAGATTTCCGACTACGCGAAAAGGAGTGTTCCCTATTGTTGAGGTAGCCTTAAGCTTCCTGGACGCAATGGGCGGCGGTGTCGAAGGGTAATGTATCGGGGCAATGGTACTTTCGGGGCTTAATGACCAATCTTTGGTTTCCTTACTGACAACATCAATTGTTTCATTTGTGTCGCTAGTATACGGTGAGGCGTTCTCTTTGTTGACATTCGGTGATGTTTGGGGTACGGCCGATGGGGTTTCGTTTTTCTTTGTTTTAGTTGGTGACTGGACTTTTGTTACGGTGGAATTCTTAAGCCATGTTTTAATGATTTCTTGGCTCTCCTTATTTAAGGACGGGCAGTTTGCTTTTTTGTGGCCTTCTTTTAGGCATTGACGGCATTTCATCGTGGCTGTGCAGTTTCTTGCACTATGGCCCTGCTCAAGACAGTTAATGCAAGTAGGGTTGTACAACTCAGATGGTAAGTAAGTCTTACACCTCATTCCGTGAATGTTAAGGAAGGGCGGAAATTTAGTGTGATCAAAGTCCGCAAACCACGCAGCGACGTATCCATTGTATAGCGATTTTCCTCGATAGTATTGCTTGTTAAGATGCCGTATTTTCCGCAGCCAATTTTAATTAAGATATCCCAGACAGCTTGCCGTTTCGCTTCGTCGGGCACGTCTTTAATACTCACGCGCGTAGGCGGCTTTGTTGGGGGAAAGAAGCGAATGTTTACATCGCCCGATGTTATGATGTTTTCGTTGTCTCGCAAAAAGGCATCTCGCTTAGAGACGTTTTCATTATTTGGATCTAGTTGCTTAAAAGAGAGCATCCATTGACCGGGGCGTGATTCGTACAAGGCCGTAAGATGATCCACATAATTTTTTTGTGGTCTTTGTATTCGATAGGATATCTAAAAAAGCATCAATATCTAGTGTGCCGCTTACCTCAGCGACCACAGAACGTGGCCGTTTTCCAATTTCGTTATTTCTGTTGGAGACCGCTGCTGAATAATCCATGCCTTTTGAAGTAATATCCAGGGTATATATCCGGGTTTTATATCCAAACTATTTCAGTTTTCCACATATAACTCAGTCAGACAGCTTTGGCTACTCAATACGACCAAATACACAGCTAGATCTTAATTAAGCGACGAGATGCCGTTCCAGACATGTCTTTCGTTTTTTTTTTTGATTATGTTACGGATCAGAGTTTTTCCAGTCCCGGATCAGTGTCTTAAAGACACGTCATATCCGAGTCATATCGGTATTACGCTTCGTAAGCATGCCACTGCATAAGCAGCGATCATACACGAAAGGCAGCTTCCGTATTCGCTATGCATTGCAAGGCAAAGACTTCGGCCCCGAGCATCAGTCGTGCTATGTGCCAAATAGCAGGACGTCTGCCCAGGGCTTCCGTCAATGCCATGCTCAACACAGCTCAACTTCCGCCGCCCCGGTTTCAGTACATACTGTGTGACGACTTTTAAATGCGTACACCCAGCATAACATCCACCGTGAAGCTTCCGATTCATCATTTCCGTTGGGATGTTTGATGTTATTATCTAATATTAATCTACCATTTATGGTGGGCAGGTATTTGGTATAGGTAAGGATTTCCAATTTTGTTTGAGTTCAAAGGCCTGTACTGATCCATATGTGTAGTTGTAACTGTCCATATATTGAATGAAATCAGAGAGTACCTTTTGGTGTAAATTTTCCAAGTCCCAGTTTGTAGCGTATCTATCCTGAATGTCCAGCAAGAATTTTAGAGTAATAAATTTTGCTTTAAGAAGGGAGAAGATTTTAAGGACGGCGAGTTCACATTTATCATCGTAAGTATTGTTGAATATCTGTTGGCGATGTATTACTAGGTTTTGTTCCGTTAACTTTTCTATTGTCCCGGAGACTGCATTATGGAGTGTCAGGTACGCTGCACAATTCAAAAAGATGTGCGGAGTTGTATCCGGGGCGTTTTTGCAGAGTTTACAGTTTCGTAGTGGTTGCTGGGAGTTTATATTATTCCGAAGTAGGCCGAACCTCCATTTCCGGTGTCCGAAAAGAAAGCCGTCTCTTTTTATTCGGTATGAGACCTGACGCTCGACATTGGAGAAGTAGGGCTTTATTTGTCTATTCATTAAATGGATTTTTTGCCAATCACAATCATCCGTACTAGAGCTTTCGTAGGTGTTTTCCCTAAGTTTGTTGTAGAGAAATTTCAGTGTGGTTCCTTCCCATTCAGATGGGGCTAATTTTATGACATGACTAATGTTGAGGATATGCTGCCAGTGGTGGTCAATTTGAATTGCGTGGGGAGCCGAATTACTATACATATACGGGTTGAAAGACTTTATTTTAGATCCCAGCGTGTAGAGTGCTTCGTGATGCCAAAATTCGATTGGAGTGTCACTGTTAAGCAATATGACTAATTTTTGGAATAGGCTCGCGTGGGATTTTAATTTAACATCTATCATATCCATTCCACCCTTAGCCTCAGGCAGAAGCATCGTTTTTCTGGAAATGGTTTCTAAGTATTCGGGGTGCCATAGATATTTAAAGATAGTGGATTGGAGTTTGTTGAGGTGACGTAATGGGATTATCCTGGTTTTCGCGTCCATGAGAGTTTGAGGTAAAACGAGAGTTTGTATTATTGTCCTTTTACCTCTCCATGTGAGATGTCTCGAGTTTGTGTTTTTTAACATATGAGTTATTTTTCGAATTTTATGGTCCCAAACTATGTTATCTGCCTCCTTGCCGAAATGGACTCCTAAGATTTTTACTGTGTCGCGACGGTATTTTTCGAAAGTTGTCCCCTCAATACGTTTTTCGGCCTCACTGTTAATACACAGGATCTGAGACTTTTCTTTATTCAGGGATTGTCCAGTTGCTAGCTGGAACTGGGATAATTCTTTAAAAATTTGTTCTAACGAGTATGAAGTTGTAGTAATAAAACTCGTGTCATCCGCGAATTGTTGAATTTTTATCTCTTTCTTTCCTATTTTGACTCCTCGAATATGCCTGTTGTTTAGAATAGCTCTGGTAATTGGCTCTACATTCAGTGAGTAAAGTAGCATGCTTAAAGGGCAGCCTTGACGTATGCCTCTTTTTATGTGAATTTCAGGGGTAGAGGCTCCGTTTATCTCGATTGTACTTTTGATGTTGTAGTATAGATCTTTTATGAGGTTGCAGAGCCTTGTTCCGAGACCGATCTTAGCCAGGAGTCTGTGGATAAAGTCGTGGTTCACCGTGTCGAACGCCTTCATCTGGTCTACGGTTAGGATGGACGCAGGAATTTGGTTCTTTTTCGAATATCTTATTACACTTTCGAGGTTCCTATGTAGGTCCGAGATTTGCCTACCGGGAATGGTGGATTTTTGAGCTGTATTAATTATGTGGTCAAGTTTGAGGGATAATCGATTCGATATCAATTTTGCAAGGATTTTATAGTCAAGATTTAGGTTGGAGATGGGCCTCCAATTCTTTAGATCGGCGGTATTCCCTTTTTTATGTATTAGTATTACTCGGGCTAGTTTCCAACTTTGTGGAATCTTTCCAAAAGCTAAGGCGTTATTGATTACTTGAACGAATTTTTGTTTAATTATCTTCCAGAAAGTTAGATAAAATTCTTTTCCTAACCCGTCGACTCCGGGGGATTTGTCATTATCGAAACTGTTTACTATGTGGAGAATCTCGGTTTCGGTGACTAACTCACCCAGCTCCTCAGCTTCAGAGGGGGACAGCCTTGTGTTGGCCATGGTTTCTATATAGTGGGCCTGAATGGCAGGATGAATGATGGTGGTGGTGCTCCACAGGTTCTTGTAGAACTCATGAGTAGTATTTAGGATTGCCTGTGGGTCATCCGTTGTGGTATTGTTTTCAGTGAGTAAGCGTGTGATGGAGCATTGTTTCTCCCTTGATTGAATTGTATTAAAGAAATACTTTGTCGGGCGTTCGTCGTCGCCAGTCACTTCTGCCTTAGAGACAATTTTTTCAAATTCCACCTTTTTGGCCAGAATACTTGACAAACGTTGCTTTAATAAGTTGAGCTCTGTTTGAGGTATAGTTGAAACGCCTTGTGAGGATTTAAAGATTTCCTCCTCGATTTGATGTTGTTCGGCGATTGAGCGTTTTTTTTGTCGGATACCGAAAGCAATCGCGTCTTTTTTTATCTGATCTTTTACGACATCCCACCAGTCTAGGATATTATTGGCGCATTCGAGGTCTCCCAGTAGGATGTTAAATCGGTTAGTGACCATTTGGACGAAACGTGGGTCTTTGTAATGGGCCGTGTTGTTCCGCCAATTTCCCATCCCCCATTTTACCCTTTTATTTTGGGATAAATCAATGGAGGCGAAGTGTAAGTGGTCTGATACTAGGTTTGGATGGTATGAGAATGCTCTAATTTGTGGTTCGACTGTTTTTGACACATATATCCTATCTATACGTCTAAATTGATTCTTTCGTTTAATTGTGAAGATGGGTTTTTTTTGGCAATGATTGTGGTATGGGTCGAAAAGGTTATTGTCCTGTATGTATTTATTTAATATTCTCTCACCTTCAGTCAGCTTGAAGGAATTGGTTTGGAGTACGTCAGTTTTGTTAGTCACAGCATTAAAATCACCAGCTAGTACAAGGAGGTCGGGATTCAAGTTGTCAGGGGCTATTCTGGTGGTCAAGATTGTGTAAAAGTCTGTTTGGGCTCTGTAGTGGGATGGGGGACCATATATATTTATAATTTTTATGCTTTTTCCTTGGTGTTGCAGATCTACTGAGCAGGCGCGGTATCTAACAATTACATTGTAAGTGATGGTGTTACTTTCAAAATTTTTAGACAGCAATATAGCCGTGCCTGCGTAAAAGTGTTTGAGATGGGTTTTGAGTTTATCTGGCGCATTCAAGTAGGCCCAATATCCTAGTTTGGATGCCCATTTTGCGATCTTGTCAGAGTCTATTTTGTGGGCTTCCTGAATGAGCATGATGTCGGGGTCATGCGCCTTAATGGTGAGTGCTATTTCGTCTAGATGAACCATGATACCATTTACATTTAGAGATACTAATTTCATGAGGTGGGGATGAGTTTTTGTAGTTTGGATTGAGTTAAGGGGATATAAATGTTAGGAAGTTTCGTTGTCAGTTACTTTTCTTTTTTGGTCGTTGGTGGGGCCGCGGAGGAGGTCGAGGAGGATCCTGTTTTGTTTCTCCCCCTTTTTTTACGATTTGGCGATCGGGTTATGGTCGGCTTGTCCGACTCGTCAGAGTCTGATGAAGAGAGGGCTAGGTCCTCTGCTTCGAGGCATGCTGGCGCTGATGAAATCTGTGGAAGGTCAGAAAAGACTGAAGAGTATGAATTTAATTCATAGACGGGCGGATTTTTATTAAAACACGAGCCTCCAAGATTCCCTATACGGAAAGGAGTGTTTCCAATTGTTGAAGTGTCTTTCAACCTGGGTTTCCGCGACACAATGGGAGGTGGAGTCGAAGGCGGGTCTTTGTTAATGTCAGGACTTAGAGACCAATCTTTCGTCTCTTTGCTCTCTACGTCGATGATTACTGCTGTGTCATTGCTTTTTGATGAGGCTTCGTCTAGAGAGACGTTTTGTGAGGTTTGGGGAACTGCGATTGATGTTTCGGTTTTGTTTGTTTTGTTTTGTTTTTCGATTTTTGTGACGGTGGTATTTTTTAGCCACGATTGAATGGTCTCCTGGTCAGATTTATTCTTTAAGGGACATTCTGCTTTGATATGCCCTTCTTGATGGCATTGTCGGCATTTTCTGGTCGCGGTGCAATTTCTTGCACTATGGCCCTGTTCGAGGCAATTAATACAAGTGGGGTTGTACAATTCCGAGGGCAAGTATGTCTTGCATCTATATCCGTTGATGTTTATGAATGGCGGAAATTTAGTACGGTCGAAATCGTCTATCCACGCAGCGACGTAGCCGTTGTATAGCGTCGTACCCCGATGGAATTGTTTGTTTATGTGTCGCACTTTGCCACAGCCGGTTTTAATTAGTGTGTCCCAGACTAATTGCTTTTTCGCTTCATCGGGAACGTCTTTTAAGCTTACTCGCGTCGGCGGTTTCGTCGGCGGTAGAAAGCGAATGTTTACATTTTGCGATGTTAAAATGTTTACATTTTCCCTTAGGAAGTCGTCTCGTTTCGAAATGTTTTCATTTCCTGGATCTAGTTGCCTGAATGATAGTAGCCATAGGCGAGGACGTGACTCATACAAGGCTGTCAAATGTTCTACATACTTTTTTGTGGATTCCGAGCTTGACAAAATGTTTAGAAATTTTTTAACATCTAGGTCTGCGCTTACCTCAGCGACCAACGATCGAGGTCGTTTTCCCTGTTGCATGTTTCGGTTAGAGACCGCTGATGAGTAATCCATTCCTTTTTTAGTTGTTATATCCAGAGTATAAATCCAATTTTCCAATCCAAAGATAAATCCGTTTACCACCTATGACGAACAATGTTTATCTATCTTAATACAACCAAATACTCCACTACCGTCTCGATCTTAATCAGACAACGAAGCGCTCTTGCAACGCCATTACGGAGCTGCTTTGAAGACGTCTTCGTTTTTTGTGCGTACGGTATTGAATGACGAGAGATCGCGCTCCAAGCGATATTTATACCTCGACAACGGTTCAGCGGTGAACAAAAAACAAACTAACATCGATCTTCTTCTCGAAACGCGACTCTCTCGCAGCCTCATTTACATACGCGCTTGTATATATAATTTTGTGAGACTCGATCACCTCATTCCGACAAAAAAGCAACATGCCGGCCACTAAAGGTAGCAAGAAAATGTCAAGCAACCAGCTAAACCAGTAAATAAAATCAAAGATAATTAAAGAACAATCAATCAATTTTGAAAGTATCAGAATGAAATCTAAAATAGACAATCTCACCCCCTCCTCAAAAAACCTACAATTCTTCTTTTCCAAAATCAAAAAGAGACATAAATTAACAGAAATCAAGTCCCTAAGAGACAGTAAAAGCATTGTTCAATCAAAAATTAAGGAAAAATTGGATATAGTAGAACGTTTTTATAGCTCTCTATATAAGAGAAAGGATACATGCCCAAAAACTCAGGAATTCTTTATATCATATATCAAACGAGTCTTGACAGAACAACAGAAAGACCAATTGAAAGAAGACCTCTCCATACCAGAAATAAAAAAGGTGATATCGGAAATAAAACCCAACAAGTCTCCTGGACCCGATGGCATAAGTATTGAATTCTATAAATCTTGTTATCATATCATTGAAAAGCAGCTACAAATGATTCTAAACGAAATGTATTCAACACCTGACCAGACAGAAACTGCTAACGGAGTCATCCACCTCATTTTTAAAAGGGGCGATAATACTGATATTAACAATTATAGACCTATAACACTTCTAAATTATGACCTAAAAATTCTGAATAAAATCCTTTCTAACAGGACAAAGAACATTCTCCCGGATATAACGCACCCCCACCAATTTTCAAAACTTCCGAACAAAATCATCGACTTGAACCTTCTTCTGAGAGAAATAACTGCAGACACCAGAAACCAGAAACTAGGATCATTAATTTCCCTGGATTTCCAGAAGGCCTTCGATTCCATAGATCATGGTTTTATGTTCGCTACTCTACACAAGTATGGTATGCCAATCAAATTTATTAGCTATATTAAAGCCATCTACTCCGGACCAAAATCTAAAATACTAGTAAACGGACATCTTTCTAAAAATATTACACTCCAAAGAGGCGTAAGGCAAGGGGATCCCTTATCAAATGTACTCTTTACACTAACAACGGACTCACTATTACAGGCTATTAACGAAGACCGAAATATCCACGGAATTAGACTCCAAGGTATAAAAGAGGAAATCAAAACTCCAGCATTTGCGGATGACACCGCTATCACCACCCGAGACGAATTGTCCGCAAAACGAGCCATTGATATGGTAAAGCTCTATGGGAACGCATCTGGTATGGTTTTAAACTTATCCAAAAGCAAAGGTCTGTGTTTTGCACGTAACCAATATGACCTACAAATAAACTGGGTCAACTCAGTGCAGATCGTCGGAATTCGGTATGGGAATGTAGTGAATGGGAAAGCATGGAATGACAAAATTAATGAATGTAAGGAAATCTTACATAACATTGGACATAGATCGTATAACTTAGAGGAACGGAAAACAATAATTAAATCTATCATACTCCCCAAAATGCTGTATCTAGCTCAAACTGAACCACTCGGACCAAAACACAAATATCAAATTCGCAAAATAACCCAGAATTTCCTATTGCCAAACAGAGAAGACATCGATTTCAACATACTAACCCTGGCAAAAAGTGAAGGAGGCATCGACCTACCCAATATACCTTTGATTTTAGACCTTCAACTTGGTAAAATTATTTTACAGCATCTACAGAAACTCCATGGCGACATCGAACAAGACAAATCTATCTACTCCAGAATCGACCAGCAAATTGGACTATCAATGAGAAACTACATCGGCGACAAATTCAATAATTCAAAACCGCACACTATAACCCCGCTTATGCATTGGAAAAAAACCCTCGACATAATAAAGAAATATGAGATCGATATAAATGAAATCCGCACAACTCCTATACGAGCAATTTACGATCGTATTATCCATGACCAGAAGCCGAAATACGCCGGGAAACTAATGACGACGAAATGGGAAAACGTGACAAACAAACTACTAAGTCAACAAGAGATGATCCTTAATTGGAAATGCGCGCACTCCATTTTGCCTACTCGAGCAAAATATCGAGTCAGGATGGCTTCCGGGACAGACCTCTGCCCATGGTGCCACAATAGAACTGAAACCGAAAGACACCTGTTCAATGAATGCAAAGAACCAGCCAAACTAATGGCAACTGCGATCTGGATCTGGGCAGAATCAAACGAGACGACTGCACCACCAGTCACCACCAAAATAACAATAGAATACAATTTTGGAGATCTTATTGAAAATAAGAAACGAAACAACCTGTGTATTCTTCTATCGAAAATGAAACAATGCATTTGGAATGAAAGAAACCTGATAACCTTTAACAAAACGATATCAAACTCGAGAAGAGTGTTCAACAAGTTTAAGAAAGAAATAATATGGCGCCACAAAATAGAAAAAGCTAAAGAAAAGAGTTTCGATATCAATCTACAAGAAGAAATAAAGACCATCGAACTGCTGAACGAGAGAGTTCTGAGAGATCTCGGCATCACTTGAGCACAAGGACATCAACGAAGGCGACAGCCATTGTCCCTGACAACAGCCAAGATACAATATTATATAGAAACTGAACTGCATCAACAGTTTTGAAAACACCACAGCTGAAACGCCTCTCTAAATCGAAATGACCTGTGAGTCAAATGCCTTAACAATCAATAGAGATAAAGATTTTTCATCACCCGACGATCGTGGAAAAACTCAATGAGCGTTTCTAACAGTAAATTCGCAATGGGGTAATATTATCGTGTTGCAGATATGCACGAGCTTGTGTGTGTGCATACAGATACCCTGATTTGCAGACTGTTATATGGCACCCCTACTCAAGGACATCCGACACCGACAAGCCCAACCCAGATTCAGTAACACGTATACTCGAACATCCATTCTGGGTCAGTGTTTTGTATTGCATAACACTTCCACGTTAGCCTTTATAATATTTGCATTTTTACCCTTTTTTCATCTTTGTTTTAGTGCGTGATTAACATATATATGTATGAAACCTGGACCCGAAAACTTAGCCCCCCCCCCCCCCCCCCGTGCCTCAGATATGTAGATTCCAAAACTAAAAATACCAAGAGAACTTCATCCTAAATTGCAGACGAACCAAACTACTGAAATTACGTGATTCACCACAAACGGTAGAATACTATAACTAGCTGGTATATAAGTCAAAAAGGAACAGATCACTTTCGAGTAGCACGAGAATAATTCGGCTCATATACACAATAGAAAAAGTTAGGAAATGTAATAAACAATCTATACTCAAACATAACCTCTGATATGAGGAGTGAATGAATAATAACCTTGTACGACCTCTATACAATAAATATTTATCTGTCCCTAGCCTAAAATTATCCCATGAATCCTCATACAGTAAATACTTACCTGACCCTGGTCTAAAATTATCCCATGCATACAATAGCCAGGCGTGTATACTCAAACATAACCTCTGATATGAGGAGTGAATAAATAATACCCGTGTACGACCTCATACAGTAAATACTTACCTGTTCCTAGTCCAATCCTCATACAGTAAATACTTACCTGACCCTGGTCTAAAATTATCCCAGGCATAAAATAGCCAGGTGTGAACCCATATAGTAAAAATACTTAACTTACCCCATAAAGTAAGTATATGTCCGAACAGCATATAACTTACCTGACCCTGGTTTCAAATTATCCCGTGCATATATAATACTTTCGTTAACCTTACTTGTGCAGTGATACTATTTAGTGTATATACTCATGCTAGTGCTTATTTTTTACTTGTGTGCGTTGTGCTCTTCATATTTTCTGCATATGTTTCGAAACGTGAGTGCAGGGAAGGGTTGGGTAGCAGCCTATAAGCCGTGAACCCAGAGATGTAATGCCCTGGAGCTGAAGGATAGTGGCGCTATAGATGTAATATATGTAACTCAATAGTTGTAGGGCAATTGGGGTTAAGTTAAAATTGATACTCAATTAAGCCAACTTCATGGAATCCGCCTTGATCCCAAACGCATATGCCGGAATCGATAGACTTTGAAAATTACCACAAGCGTTAGAATGCAACAATTCCGCTAGTATATAAGCGGAAAACCTATAAACAATTATCGAGAAGACCCAAGTTAATTCATGGACGAGACGTTTACCTCTCTTTCAGACCGTGATCTTTCAAGCCTCACTCCTGTAAAACACCGTCTTTAAAGCCCCCCTAGTCGTATTTCAAAACTGTGAAAGACTCTAAATACGAACGGCGACCGTGTATATAAGGAAATCCTACCCCTGATATAAATTTGCCAATGTACTTATAGGGAGACTTGCACCCTGTATGACAAAACCGTAAGCCGACTATACCCACCGACGCCCAACGTGCAAATACAAAACCCCGTATGTGCCAAACTCTAATGTAGAGTGAATTGTACATAAACCTGTTTTAAAATGCTTATATATATTTTTTCTTTGTGGACGTACATTTTTTTCCTGGTCAAATAAATTAAATATTAAGAAAATGTCAAGCAAGAAACAGACGCCGAAGGGCGACAAAAAGAAGCGCAGAGCGAAGAGAAAAGAAAGCTTCAGCATCTACATTTACAAAGTACTGAAGCAGGTACACCCCGACACTGGAATTTCCAGCAAGGCAATGAGCATCATGAACTCGTTCGTCAACGATGTATTCGAAAGAATTGCCAGCGAATCGTCTCGATTGGCACACTACAACAAACGCTCAACCATCAGCAGTAGGGAAATCCAGACTGCTGTCCGTTTGCTTCTGCCAGGCGAACTCGCGAAACACGCTGTTTCCGAGGGAACAAAAGCCGTCACCAAATACACCAGCTCCAAGTAAGTCGTTTTCGCGGCTAACGAAACAAAAAACGGTCCTTATCAGGACCACCCACACTATATTGTACGAGAGTTATATAATATAAATAATGCGTCGCAAATTTTCACCCCTATGCGAACGAAGTATGTTCGCATACGACAGACATCGGGACTTTTGAGACCGGTACGCGTTTCACAGTCTTCCGGGAGAAAGACGTCGCGAACGGCGGCGTTTCTTGTGTAAAGAAGAAGTAATTTCGAGTCGACACAGTAGCCAACCAACAAGTAGTCAGTATTGGAAACGCAAACTCACTATTATTATCTGTTGGTATTAGCGCGAGTACAAACTCAAACTTCCAAAAAAACGTGGTGGCTCTAAAAAGAACCGCTGTCAGCAACACGCCCCTGATGCGTCGCAGTTTCGAGGCAACGACTCATATCTTCGTCTTAACTCAAATTAGTTCAATAATGTGGTGGCTCTGAAAAGAGCCGTTTGGTAATTAGTCGATGACGCCTAAGCACGTTCGCCTATGATGCGTCGTGCCAGTTGAATGTCCCTGGGCATGATGGTGACACGCTTTGCGTGGATTGCGCACAGGTTAGTGTCTTCGAAGAGACCGACCAAGTAAGCTTCGCTCGCCTCTTGCAGCGCCATTACGGAGCTGCTTTGGAAGCGCAAGTCCGTTTTGAAGTCCTGAGCAATTTCCCGAACCAATCTCTGGAAAGGAAGCTTACGTATGAGCAACTCGGTCGATTTTTGGTATCGGCGAATTTCTCTCAAAGCGACTGTGCCTGGCCTGTATCGGTGAGGCCTCTTGACGCCGCCGGTCGCAGGTGCGCTCTTTCTCGCAGCCTTTGTGGCAAGCTGCTTGCGGGGAGCCTTACCCCCGGTGCTCTTTCGTGCGGTCTGCTTGGTTCTGGATATTTATTGGTTTTACAAACAGAGTATATACATGAAAAACAAAGAAAAAGAACTTATACTTTTAAATGATTACACTGAGTATTACTCTACGTTAGAGTGTGCTTCTTAACTGGGTTCATCTCAGAGGTTCGTATTTGTCTTGGGTGTATATTCTGGAGCCTGGTTGCAAGGCATACAACCCCGGTGTTATGGTTACAACTGTAGGCCTTCGCTTTTTGTGTAGCAGTGGTATTTTCGTGTCAACAGTAATACGCAGTAATTATCTGCCCTTTTAGACAGTCTGATATTTTGGTTACAAGTCGTTTAATACGTCGTTCGTGCCAGCCGGGTTATATGGCTGTTACTCGCACATAGTTCATTTCAGCATTTTTGGGCATTTATGGTTAATTCGGGACAGTTTTCAGCATTTAAGCTTTAGAGATTAATATGTATGATTCGATTAAGGATTGCAACTCTTGGTTGGACACACGTTAGGTGAATATACATGATATACTTTGGGGCGGGGTTGATGTTTATAATATTCATCAATGGTTATGTCAAGGTTGAGGATAGTTTTTACTATTTCTACTACGTGATTCTTTGGTTACTTATATGAGCCGAATTATATCCACGATCCATTCGAAGTAGTATTATGTCATTTGGACTTATATACCAGCGCGTTTTTCTATTCTACCGTTTGTGGTATATTTCGAAATCTCATGTGATTTTCGCACATGTATAAGGAAGAACATGGGATTCTCTTTTGGTTCTGGGGTTTGATTCATGCACTCATATATCCATACAATATACAATATATACGTATCTACACGGGAGGCCTCTTTGTAGTTTGGTAATACTACCGCATAGAGAAGGAGAAGAAAAACATATATAAAATACTAGACCAAAAACAGTTGGGATTTCGGTTGTCGACATTGCATGGGGAATCATTTTCAAATTACAGTTTAGATCCACGCACACATGTTTCTATGCTAACCACAATGTATACGTATCTATACTCCGAGCCTAGTTGTAGCTCGGTAATACTACGGTATGGGAAAAATATATAGACACTGGGATCAATTATATACGATATCGGTGTGCAGACTACGTTATGTGGTTTGAATGGATGGGGTGCTTACGAGTTTGTTTACAGTACGTAAAAACGCTTGAATACAATTCTACAAGTTACATCGTCGTCTGCTATGACTAGCAAAGTTTCTGCAATTCTACAGTATGAGAAAAGGTACCGATTCATGGGGAATACATCACGTTGATTAACAGTGACATTTTTTAGTTCACTTTGGTAACTTTTTCGTTTTTTTTTTACATTTTTGACATACGTATTTTCAAATCGAATTCGGGTTTTTAATACATCTTGTGCGGTATCGTCTCCGTTACGTTATTCCCAAGTCTCGTAGTTGTTTTTCCCCGAGTAGTTCAATTGTCCTCATTATTCTTTCGAACTTGAGGTCATTACCCCCCTTTCGCCTCTGTTGTTCAACTCTATATCGCCATATTATCTGTCTTTTAAAGCTGTTGAATGTTTGCTTGGAGCTTAATTTGTGGTTGCCGAATATTTTCCTGTTTCTTGCTTGCCATATAGCTTGTTTCATTGTTGTCAATGAAAAGATTAATATGTTCGCTTCGTCCTTTTCTATACTTTGTCCAAATCTATAATTTATTGTTATATCTTTTGTAGCAGGTAGTGTTTTATTTGGGCTTTTGTGTGATTATGTCCAAATTGCTGTTGCCATTAATTTATTTGTAATATCGCATTCAGCAAATAGGTGTACCTCGGTCTCAGGCTTGTTGAGGCACTACGGACAAGCATCGTCTCGTGCTGCATTATTTACTCGATGTTTTGATTTTGTTGGAAGAATCTGGTGGGCGCACCTCCAATTAAATATTTGGTCGCGTGGGTGTAGGATGTTTCGTGTTAAATTCCCCCAATCTCTTGATAGTAGTATCTTTGCTTGTCGGGGTTTTCGTGCTCCAATCACTTTTTTGTAAAGTTCTTGTAGCGTATTTGTTCTGATTTTGGTTTGGTCGAAATTATATTCCTTTATAATATCCATCGCGTTTTTCCAGTGTTTGAGAGGTTTTGTTGTGTGTGGTCGGCTGTTATTTATCGGTGTTCCCATAAGGTCTTTCATCTGTAGGCTCAATTGTTGGTCGATTCTTGGGAATATGATGTTGTCTTGGTCCGAATCACCGTGGTGCTTCCGTAGAAACTGCAAAATTATTTTACAGAATTGTAAGTTTAAGACTACCGGGATATTAAATAATCCAATTCCCCCCTCGTCCCTTGGTTGGGTTAGAATGTCAAAGTCTATGTCCTCCGTTTTATAAAGTATAAATTTTTTGCACATTTTTCGAATTAATTTGTTTTGATCATAGTTTATAGGTTGTGTTTGGGCCAGATACAGCATTTTAGGTAATATGACTGTCTTGACTATTTTTGCTCTTTCCAGTATATTGTAGCGTGTAGGGCCAATTTCCTCTAATTTTTCTCTGCATTGTTTTACTTTGTTATTCCATAGTCTTCTATTGTCTGTCTTTCCATACGTATTCCCAATTACCACTAATGATTCAACCCAAGTTATATCCACATTATATTTTTGTTCATCGAAACATATCCCTTTAGTTTTAGAATAATTTAAAGTCATACCGGATGCCTTGCCAAAGAAATTTACTGTTTCAAGTGCTACTTTTGCTGAAATTTCGTTTTTCGCTGTTATTGTGATGTCGTCCGCGTAGGCTGGGGTCTTTATTTCTTGCTTGATGCCTTGGATCTTTATTCCAGATATGTTTGATTCTCTGTTGATGGTTCGTAGGAGTGGGTCCGTTACTAAAACAAAAATTATGCCTGATAACGGGTCGCCTTGTCTAACTCCTCTTCGGAGCGTTATCGTTTCGGATAAATGGCCATTCATTAAGACCTTAGATTTGGGTTCGTCATACATTTTTTCTAAATACCTGGTTAGTGTGTTTGGCATACCATATTCCTTTAGCACCGCAAACATAAAGCTGTGGTCGATGGAATCAAACGCTTTCAGGAAATCCAATGATATCAGTGCACCTTGGTTCCGTATTTGACATTCCGTAACGACTTCTCTGATTAAAAAATTTAGGTCCATTATTTTGTTCGGCGGTTTAGCAAATTGGTGGTTATCTGTAATGTCCGGCAAAATCAATTTTATTCGGTTAGCTAGTATTTTGTTGAGAATTTTCACATCATTATTCAGTAGTGTTATTGGCCTATAATTATGTAACTCTTCTTTATCTCCTTTCTTATGTATCAGGTGGATTATGCCAACATTATTTTCATTTTTCTCTATTGCCCCTATGTACATTTCGTTCATGATTTCCAATAGCTCATATTTTATTAAATAGAAGAATTTTTTATAGAATTCACCAGTCAGTCCATCTTCCCCGGGAGATTTTTTTATCTTTATTTCTTTTATTGCCTTTTCTAATTCACTCATCGTAATTCCGGTTTCCAGGCTATCATTTTGGTTTGCAGTGGTCTTGTGCCCAATTTTAGATAAAGATAAGTTCTGTGCAGCCTGGCTAGTCTGCCGTTTACTATATAGATTAGTGAAAAAATTTTCTACTATTTTTAATTTATCTTTCAATTTGTAGCTACGTTCTCCTTTTGGATTCTTTACCGGGCCGATTTCAGTTTTCTGGTGCTTTCTTTTAATTTTATCAAAAAACAAATGGAGGTTGTGACTATTTGGTGAAATTTCCTCAATTTTGGATCGTAGGATTAGGCTTTCAAATTCAATTTTTTGTTGGACAAATAGTGCCTTTTTTGCTTGTTTAAAGTCCGATAGCACATTTTTTCCCTTATTAAGTTCGGATCTATAAAATTCTACTTGCGTTTGGAGTTTTTCCGTTTCTTCTTTCTTGATTCTCCTTTCTTTGGCTCCGAAGGTGATCAGAAGTTGTTTTATTCTTGTTTTTGTCGTTTTCCACCACTGTATCCAGTTGTGGTTGTTATAGTCTTGCAAGGTTTTCCATTTTTTCCATTTGTCTTCCAGTATTTGCTTAAATTGAGTTCTGTCATAGTGAGATGCGTTATTTCTCCAGAGTCCCGGTCCTCTTTGTTCCTGTAGGTTTATCTGAATTTGGATTACGGCTGTGTCGTGATCTGTTCCTGGAATCGAAATGTGATATAAAGAATGGATTATTTTGCTATCATTTGTATAAATTCTGTCAAGTCTTGAGTTTCCATTTTGGTGGTGATATTTAAATTCCCTTTTGTTCCGGGCATAGTGCCGAAACGCATCAATTAAATGGAAGTTGTTTAATAGTTTTTTAAGGTGCTTTTGTAAGGCCGCTTGAGAATAGTGATTGTCGGATGGCTGTTTGTCATTCATCGGATCTACTACTACATTAAAGTCGCCTCCCAATACCACTTTAGTTGTTGTACATAAATGTTCGCTGACGTCACTGAAAAATTTCATCCTTTTATCCAAATTAGTCCCGTGTGTTTGGGCATATGCATAAATATTAACTAGCTTAATTTTTATTTTTTGGATAACAATATTTAGCACTAAAATTCGGCCCTTATTATCAAATTTTTGATCTATAAAAATAGGACTTATCGTTTTCTTGAATAAAATTCCAACTCCTGATGATTTTGTATTGTTCGAGTTCCAAAATGCTCCTTTTTCTCCCCATTCCTGAGTCCATTTGTTTTCTTCTTTGGCGCTTGAGTGTGTTTCCTGTAGGTAGACTATATCCCATGGTTGGGTTCTTAGAAAGTTAAAAATTGTTTGTCTTTTACTTTTATTTTGCAGTCCATTTACATTAATAGTCGCTACTTTTAGTTTAAAATCCATTATTCGTGTGGTATGTTCTTTACGTCTGATCTGAGTTTCGTTTGCACAATTGATTATTGCTTAAGTAAGTTAGGGTATCTCTCCCTGCATCTAGGGCACTTGTCGTGCTCTCTGTATGCGTGCAAAGGTACTAAGGTGTGGCAACATTGGAGGGGCACAGCTAGCTCAAGACAGTTTATACAAGTAGTGGGATATTCAAACTGGTGATCCTCTTGGGGAGTTATCATTAATAGATTTACGTCACAACATGTCCGGAATATGTTATATTCTTCCGTGCAGTTAAAGCAACACACACTCTTTTGGTCGCTTAAAAGCGATATTATCTTACTACAGTTAGGACATTCTACAGCCGTTTCTGGGGCTGATAGACTAATGGCTTTTCTATTACGGTACTCACCGCTACTGCCAGATGTGTCGTATTTCCTTTTGTTATTTCCCATTTCTTCCAATGTGTGTAAGCTGTCTTCCTCTATATCCTCTGACTCGCTGTCCTCGGCGCTCCCTATTGTGCGTCGATCGCCATCTTTGTTTTGACGGTCGTGCTTGGGTGCGCTTTGGGTTGGTCTTTCCGATGGATTTTCATTCCTTATATGGTCACGCGCAATTACTTCTTGATTGTCTTGGGCGTTCCCCGTTCTGCTTGGCTTAATTTGAGCTCAATTTGTTTTGAATTTACGTTTTTATCCTCAATGGTTTTGCAAATATTTTTGATTGCCGTTATGTTATTTGTGTTTACCTTATTTTCCAGATTTTGTATTTCTGTTATGTTAACGCTGTCATCCGAGGTAATATTGCTCTCATTCTCCTTCTCCTCTTTTTCAACACTCTCGGCCCAGCTAGAATGTTGCGCTTGGTCTTCTTCCAAAATCGGGACTTCCCGATTTGGTTCGTTAAGCTCATTCGTTTGGTCCTCGGTCCTACTGCCTATATCCGCCTTGTTCATTGTCTTTTTGTTTGATTTTTCTTGTTTTGCGGGGCACTCGAATCTCATGTGTCCCGCTTCGTTGCAGTAACTGCACGTCCCAATTTGGCCCGGGTATTTAACAAAAAGTTTGCATCCTCGAATAAATATGTAGCTTTTTATCGGTTTGTTTGCCAAATCCTCTCTCTTCATTATAATTCGCCTGGCGCCATTTCTAATTCCTCTCCTGTCTTTCAGGTGTGCAATCGATTCCGGTTTTCCATGGTTTTTCTCAATATAATCCAAAATTATGTTATCCGTCATCCTGATGGGTGTCCAATTGATGTATAATGGAATTTTGTCCGGTATCATTAATTTGTGCGCTGGGAGATGTTTTCCTTCTTGTTCCATTTGCCATATCTTTCGATCCATTTGTAATGCTACTAGTCTATTACTAAAGCTAATTTCAGTTACGCCATTAGGGTATTGCACCACACCATCTATTTTATCAAAATTTGCTCCAATTTCCTCCAAAAATTTCCACATTTCCTCTCTTTTTATCTGCCTTTGGAATTTAAACCTAATATCGCATGACCTATCCAGCCAAGGTGCCTCATTTTCAGGGACATTCTGTGCCGCTGCGCTAGCGTAGCTCCGCGTATCAGCAACCATTATCCTATATTATGACCACG